ATATATATATATATATATATATAAATATATATGTGTGTGTATATATATCTGTCTGAGTGTGTGCGCGTGCGTGCGTGCTTGCGTGCATGTGTGTGTGTGCAGGCGTGTGTGCGTGTGTGGGTAGGTGTGTGCGTGCGTGCGTGCGCGTGTGTAAGTGTGTGCGCGTGCGTGCGTGCATGCGTGTGTGTAATAATTAAATTTAAAAAAAAATGATTTATTATTAATTAGTATTCTTTATCATATAAAAGAATTAAATCTCCTTTAAAAATTTGACAGATATCAAAAAAATAAACATCTTTTTCAAATCTATATTTTATACATATAATAATTTAAATATATATATTTTTATTATAATATAATTTTTATTTTTTAGATAAAAAAATATATGTGTGTTAAATAGTAGTTGGGACAAGTACCCCACTCTTTACTATGTGGAACGTTGGTTTCACGTGAAAGAAACAGTGAAAGAAACAGAGAAACAAACCGAGAAAGAAACCGAGACGTGTGTTGTGCACACCAGAGAGGAGCAATATATATAGACAGTTCTTTGTGACGCTCTCATTCTGTGACCTTTTGGTTGAATCGAAACCGTACACGTGGAACCACGATAGAAGAAACTCTAATTTGGTCTGCTCTTTCAGGACCAATCATATCACTCCCTCATTTTTTTACAAGTCCTAAACTTTGCCTATTTATTTTATTTTATTTTATCAAAAATTTAATTATTTTTAAAATTTTGAGATATACTTATATATGTGTGTGTGTGCGCGTGCGTGCTTGCGTGCATGTGTGTGTATGCAAGCGTGTGTGAGTGCACATGCGTGCGTGCGTGTGTGTAATAATTAATTTTTTTAAAAAAAACTTGATTTATTATTAATGAGTATTCTTTATCATATAAAAGAATTAAATCTCCTTTAAAAATTTGACAGACATCAAATAAATAAACATCTTTTTCAAATTTATATTTTATATATATAATAATTTAAACATATATATTTTTATTATAATATAATTTTTATTTTTTAGATAAAAAAATATGTGTGTCAAATAGTAGTGGGGGCAAGTACCCTCACTCAGTGTAGCCTTATACCGCATAAGCAACAGTTAGAAGCCTAACATTGCAACCCAACCTCCACTGACTAAAATCCCTTTCAACGCAAAAAGCAAAAGAAATGGATAACAGTGCTCCCATTAGAGACATCAACGCAGTACTGGAATAAGGACAGGGTACCTTTGACTCATCTTTGCCTGAGAAACCAAAATTGGAAATTAAATAATCTAAACGACAAGCGTAAAGTGAGAGTGAGTTGCAGTAACTAAAGTGACCTGAATGATGAGCCAGAGAGCATAAGAGACGTTGCTTGCGACAGAGGCGAGAGCGCCAAATACGGTCATAACGGCAGAAGAAGGGTGAGGATGTACGACGTTGCCGTTTCGGTGGTTGAAAAGGTTAACATGGAAAGACAACATCTTCACTTCTGGGCCTTTAACGAAAGTGAGTATCATTGCCCCACTGATTCCGGTTATCGTTCCAAGTATCTTCGCCTTCCCTGCTCTTGTTCTTAAATTTAATCTCTCCAATCTCAACACATGAAACGTACACTTATCATTTTCTTTTACTTAAATTAATTAATACCACATTTTATACATATTCTCAAACTATCTAAGTCTAACACTTGGAATTCTTACCCGAAGAAGAGGGATATCATAAAGGTGATGGCTGGAACCAGGTTCGATATGGCCGTTGTAAACGTTACAGAAGTTAAAGCAATTGCTTCCATGTTTAAGTTTTGAGGCAACGCACCGCTGCATATTAATTAAATTAAATCCTAATAACAGTACTTGCTCAGCTTAAAAACTTGGGAATGAACCCTAGCAAGCCAAACTTTTAGGTAAAAATGAAAAGCAATAGTCCAAAAGGAGTTCCTTATATGGTTACGACTCTAGGCACATCCAAAAGTGAATCGCAACGACGATCCAGCATTCTAGAGCATATATCAATAAACAAAAAATTACTAACCCAATTAAGCCGCATAGAAATGACTGAAACAGTATCGTCCAACTCATCTTTGTCCTCCTCTTCCTGCAAAATCATTGTCAACAAACACCATATCCATTTTGTTATTATTATTTATTTCTAAACAACAAGCAACACAAGAAAACCAATCATTCTCAAATCAGATTTGACTCTCAATAGGAAAAGTCATTCGTCCCGTCATTCTATATCATGCATAAATGTTTCTCATTTTTCAAGTAAAAAGAAAAAGTATAATTGGAGAAAAAGTTGCCATGGCTTGCTTTATTGATATTATTATTATTATATTCATATATCATAGCTGGATCATTATAATCTGCACGATCATAAAATAGAAAAAGATTGATAATATGAATTTGTCTAGAAGATGAACAAGTAAAGGAACTGGACATGTTGAATCTATCACAAGTGTTTTGATGTTAAAATAAGCGTAAAATGAAGTGAAAGGAAGAACGGATGAAAGATAAGGAAAGAAGAAAAACCTTTCAATGATGAAAGCAAGAGGAGCAATAAAAACTGTTGCAAAAATATATCGGTACGCAACAATGACACTCAAGTTCATGTCATAGTTAAGGGAAAGTTTGTAAATAACATTAACCTAAGCGTTTGTGACTTGAACAATGAGCATAAGCAGAACTGGCTTTAATGCATGCACCAATTCCACATATCCATCGTTAACAACAGTGACGGATCCAGAAATTTTAAATAGTTAGGTTAATATTTATTCATATATTTGTAGTTTTAAAAATCTTACATATAACTTTTTAAAGCATAACTATATATCATAATTATTTTTTATAAGCTTTCATATTTACGATTACAATAAAAGATAAAAATAAATTAAGTTAGACTAGATTTTGTTATAATTTAGTAAGTTTGAACCTAACTTTATCTAAAAATATATATCCTAAGTATGACTTATTAATCTATCATATACATTTTTTAAATGTTTGGTTAAAATTATAATCCTAAAGACTTGCTTTGTAATAATTTAACATTATTAAAAAAATAAAAATAAATATGTTATATCTTATAAAAATCAAGTTTAATTTATTTATGATATACACATGTTTTTAATATCTAATATATATTTTTAGATAATAATTTATTTTAAAATATATTTAATAATAACAATTCTAAATGAAACATAAATCTTCTGGTCTTTTTTATTTTGATTTTTTTAATCAACGTATACAATAAATAGAAAATACAAAAGATAAACATGCATATTGTAAATTTTATTTTATCAAAAAATATTTTTTAATATATTACATTATATATGTGAGTATTAAGATATATATATATATATATAACTATATATGTGTGTGTATATATATCTGTCTGTGTGTGTGCGCGCGTGCGTGCGTGCTTGCGTGCATGTGTGTGTGTGCAAGCGTGTGTGTGTGCGTGCGTGCGTGTGCGCGTGTGTGTGTGGGTGTGTGTGCACATGCGTGCGTGCGTGCATGCGTGTGTTTAATAATTAATTTTTTTTAAAAAAAACTTGATTTATTATTAATGAGTATTCCTTATCATACATAAAAAAAATAAACATCTTTTCCAAATCTATATTTTATACATATAATAATTTAAACATATATATTTTTATTAAAATATAATTTTTATTTTTTAGATAAAAAAATATGTGTGTGTCAAATAGTAGTGGGGACAAGTACCCCACTCTTTACTATGTGGATCCGTCCCTGGTTAACAAGTATATATCAAACGTTGGTTTCACGTGAAAGAAACAGTGAAAGAAACAGAGAAAGAAACCGAGAAAGAAACTTGAGACGTGTGTTGTGCACATCAGAGAGGAGCAATATATATAGACAGTTCTTGGTGACGCTCTCATTCTTTGTGACCTTTTGGTTGAATCGAAACCGTACACGTGGAACCACGATAGAAGAAACTCTAATATGGTCTTGTTTATCGTGGACCAATCATATCACTCCCTCATTTTTTACAAGTCCTAAACTTTTTATTTTATTTTATTTTATTTTAACAAAAATTTAATTATTTTTAGAATTTTGAGATATACTTATATATATCTTTCTGTGTGTGTGCGCGCGCACGTGCGTGCATGCTTGCGTGCATGTGTGTGTGCAAGCGTGCATGTGTGTGCGTGCGCGTGTTTTTGTGTGTGTGCACATGCGTGCGTGCGTGCATGTGCGTAATAATTAAATTTTAAAAAAAAAAACTTGATTTATTATTACTGAGTATTCTTTATCATATAAAAGAATTAAATCTCCTTTAAAAATTTGACAAACATCAAATAAATAAACATCTTTCCTAAATTTATATTTTATACATATAATAATTTAAACATATATATTGATAAAAATTAATAGGATAAACATAATAAAATTATTAATTTGTTTTATTTTAGTGTCCTATAAATTTTTACACTCATTTAAAACAAAAATATTTTATATGTTATTTTGAATTAATTTAACGAAGTATCATGATTTTTAATTTTTTAAAAAAATTTATAAATTTGACCTATATCTGAAAAGCTTTTTAATTTAACAATTAAATTTTAAAAATTTGATATAGAATATTAATTATTAATTAAAATAAATCTTTAAACCATGCATTGATGGTTTTGCCTTCTGCAAACCAATTGTACAAGTGGATGGTACCTTTTTATATGGGAGATACAAAGGTACACTATTGGTCGCAGTTGCGCAAGATGGTCGCAACAACATAATTCCTATTGCATTTGCTGTTGTTGAAGGTGAAACTAGCGATGCATGTTTTTTTTTTCTGAAGAACTTGAGGCGGTATGTAACACCGCAAGATGAGTTGTGCCTTATTTCTGATCGTCATGAAGCTATTCGAAGTGCATACTCAAGGAATGGAAGTGGCTGGACAGAAGACAATTCTGTTCATGTCTATTGTATTCGACATATTGCACAAAATTTCATGCGACGATTCAAAAATGCAGCACTAAAGAAGGATGTCGTCAATATGGGTAAGTTTATCATTACTTTTTTTAAAGCATTTGATTATTACTTTTAATTATTTAATATTTTTTTTTTGCAGCCTACGGGATGACTGAACCTAAATTCTTTTACTATTACAACATAGTAAGAGATACTAATGTTGAAGCAGCTCAATGATTAGACAACATTCCTAGGGAAAAATGGCCACTAGCATGGGACAATGGACGACGTTGGGGACACATGACAACAAACCTAGCTGAGTCAATGTTCCATGGTAATGGCCACATACACTCGTTGCAACAAGTTTTTCGTTCAAAGAGGTACGGAAGTGGGCGCAATGATTAATGCAGGACATGTCTATTCGAAAATTGCAAATAAAACTATTCAAGATGCACAATATAAGGCAAATACTCATAGAGTTATCAGCTTTGACAGATCAAGCAGTAGATTTCTAGTGGAAGAAACGCAACATTCGAGAGAAGTTCGACCAGTTGGGAGATTTGCGGTAAGGCTTGATGAATTGTGGTGTGATTGTGGCAAGTTCCAAAAAGTTCATATCCCTTGCTCACATGTGCTTGCTTCATGCTTACATGCACATCATGACTATGAAAGGTACATATCTCCCATATATACCTTACAACAAGTTGCAAAGGTATACGAAGGACAGTTTGGAGAGCTTCGACATGAAGATTATTGGCCTACTTACACTGGTCCAACTTTGTGGCCAAATCCAGAACTGAAGAGAACTTCGAAGGGTCGACCAAAGTCCACCAGGATTAGAACAGAGATGGATATTAGAGAACAACATACTCATGTCAAAAATTGTTCTTATTGTCACACTCCTGGTCACACTAGGAAGACATGTCCGAATATTAGTCATGGATGTAGTTCCCGCCACCAATGATCATTATTGTTGTAATCAGTTGTAATAAATTTATTTAGTTATGTAATATTAAAGTTAATTACTTTGTGTTAGTATCGGATAGTACGTTGTGTTTGTGTTAAAATCGTATATTGTGTTGAAATCGTATATTGTGTTACAAAGAATAAAAATTGAATTTTCCAAAATATATACTTTAATAAATCATAAACAATATCATATTCTAATTCTATGTCCCGATGTCACATGTCCTATCAGAGCAAAATCCCACATAGAAGCCTAAGCTCCATCGCCCACATCCTTATCCTCATGTTGATAATAACCTATATGACAGTTAGAGAAAACAACACAAGAGAAAAGGGAGTGAGAAACATCTCACTCTGGCTCATAGTGTAGAAATACACACCGGATAGCCAAACACAAACGAGACAGATATAACATAGATATATTAACAACAACATTACATCTCATTCATCGAAACCGTACACTTGGAACCACGATAGAAGAAACTCTAATCTGGTCTGCTCTTCCAGGACCAATCATATCACTCCCTCATTTTTTACAAGTCCTAAACTTTGCTTTTTTATTTTATTTTATTTTATAAAAAAATTAATTATTTTTAGAATTTTGAGATATACTTATATATATATATGTCTGTGTGTGTGCGCGCGTGCGTGCGTTCTTGCGTGCATGTGTGTGTGCGTACGTGCGTGTGCGCGTGCGCATGCGCGTGTGTGTGTGGGTGTGTGTGCACATGCGTGCGTGTGTGTGCGTAATAATTAATTTTTTTTAAAAAAACTTGATTTATTGTTAATGAGTATTTTTTATCATATAAATGAATTAAATCTCCTTTAAAAATTTGACAGACATCAAATAAATAAACATATTTTCCAAATTTATATTTTATACATATAATAATTTAAACATATATATATTTTTATTATAATATAATTTTTATTTTTTAGACAAAAAAATATGTGTGTGTCAAATAGTAGTGGGGGCAAGTACCCCCACCCAGTGTAACCTTATACCGCATATGCAACAGTTAGAAGCCTAACATTCCAACCCAACCTCCACTGACTAAAATCCCTTTCAACGCAAAAAGCAAAAGAAATGGATAAATTGATATGGGCCTTCTCTCCTTTGGGCTTGTAGCCTCTAAATATATATGTGTTAGAGGTTCAGGTACTATTTATCCACCCAAATAAATAAATAGTGTTTTTTTTCAATTAAAATATGGACTTTGGAATTAATAATGTAATTTAATATTTATTTTCTGATGTAAAATTCAGTTCAACCACACACCCTTACTTTATTGTCATGTGTCCTAGTTATACTCATAAGAATTTTTAAACTTAAATGAAAAACATACAAAAGAAATCAGGATGTCAATATACAAAGTTACTGACTACACACGAAATCATTAAAAATTGATATGGTACTACACATTCAAAAATAAGCTTTAACACTTAACAGTGTTTTTTTTTTTTTTTTGTGCTACTTTTTGTTCACACGTAAAGTATTGTGAATAATAAATACGGTTGTAAAATAAATGACGATTAACCAAATTGCACAAAAATTAAGAAAAGCTCCAAGTTTAAGAGAAAAATAGCAGGACTACACTATTTTTTTTCTTGAAAATAGATATTGCTGATAATTTATCTCTTGAATAAAAGTTTTTAAAACATTAATTTAGAGATAAACTCGTAAAAAGACAAAGTTAGAAAAAGTAACATTCTCTTAATATTATTAAAGGACAAATAAGTTTAAAAGATAATAAAAACAACACTTTCTTT